ATCCAATGGTCCTATGACTCCTATGGTCAAGCTTCCCAGTTATTGATGTTCTACCCTCTTCAGTTTTAAGTTATTGCCTTGGGACTGTTCTCACACTACTCTCGTTCTCGACATTTTACCTTGGTCGCATCTTCAGAAAGAGGGAAATGGAAGGGAAGTGCTGCCTGTTATACTGGGACCTGAGCGGGGAGGGGCCTATGTTACTGCATGTTCATTATTTTTTTATTCTGTTTGTATTATTTGCTGCTATTGGTGGACAGTAAAGAAAGGGATATGCAATACTCGCCTCCGTGTTTTTAATAAAATCATGACTTTTCGTCATGTAATAGCAAAATCATGTAATTGTATTGAGACAAATTGTAAAGTGAAGTGAGAAAGGAGTTTCTTCTGTGAACAGCTCCACGTGCCCTGTGATACAATAAGTAACAATATAAAATATATATATTTATGGTTTAAATATACTCTGCACTACATACTGTTGTGTGCAAATTAGATAATTATATTTTATGTAATTATGGACGGACCTCTCAATCCCTTTTATTTTATTATGTACGGACCTCTCAATCCCTTTTATTTTATTATGTTTTACCATTTCCATAATTTTTCCTATATTTTATTTGTAACTCAGTTGTTTTACTTCTGTTTTACATTGTTAATATAATGTTTTCTAAAATGTATTCAATAAAAATAATTTAAAAATAAACAAAGGGAGAGAATTTAGTTTTTTAATGACAATCGATTATTTTTTTCCATTTCACAATCTTGTATTAATACAAAATGGGAATTAGCTGCAGCAGGAGTCATTTAAAGTTTAATAAAAGGGAGCTGAAAGAAGGGAAGTAAGGGAAAATGTCATAGGGCAATTAATGGCCCATTCCTCCCTTCCACCATGAGAAGAACAAATCTTTCCTACACATCCAGTCTATAACATCAGTGATCATCCTTCAGTGTGGGGGAAAAACATTGCTCTATTAGCTGCTCCCAACTGTGTCTGTCAAGGTTACAGGCACAGCCACACTACCAGGCAGGGCAAAAACACTACAACGAAAGCAGTTCAAAATAAGGGGATCCACAGCAACAGAATTAAAGTAATTTGCCTTTTTTTTATTCACATTGAAATTTTAGAAAACTTTTATGAATTTAGAAACAACCTTGAAGGGAGATGTGAGTTGCCAATTGGATCTCAGCTATTAGATTATGACACCTCAAGTATTAAACTGTGACACATTATTAGATAAACACAGTAATAATAACGTAATGTCAGATAAAAAAAAGCCATAAAATATGTGCACACGTTCCATATTATTATAAAAAAAAAATAAAAAATAAAAAAAACTTATTCGATATATGGAGGGTTCGCAATACCTTGACTAAAGAATTTACTTTTTATTCATAATTCACATTCAAGAATAAATTTATTTTTGGGAGACCCGAAAATATTAGATAAAGTAGAACACATTGAGATCAAAACAATGATATGGTCAGATCATAATATCCTTATAATGGATATAAAAGAGGGCAAGTTTATATATCCAAAGATTACATGGAAATTAGATGATTCAATTTTATATAGCAATGAAAATCAAGCTAAGAAGAAATGTCAGCAAATTTTTTCGAAGATAACAGAGCTGAGGATACCTCAGAGCTAATAAATTGGATTACATATAAGGCGACTATGAGAGGTCATTGTATAAGGGTCAAAAAGAAGATGCAAAAAAAAAAAGAAGGCATAGGACTTTCCAATCTATATATTCAACTATATAAAGTCTCTAAAGAATGTAAGATAAATCCTGATAAAGAAGCACAAAAGAGAATAGATAAAATTAAACAATCCATCAAAAACAAAATCTTAGAAAATAGAGAAGAAAAAAAAAAATGTCAAAACTAAAAGTTAAATACTATTACCTATAAAATAAAGCAGATAAAATATTATCAAACCAACTTGCAGAGAATCGAATTGATAAAATTATATACGAAGGCAAAACATGTAGAGCACCGAAAGAAATAGGGGAAGCCTTCAACAAATTTTATAGACTCTTATATAATCTGCCTTACAGTCCTACGGAACAGTTAGTCGATAATTATATAAAAGATCTTGAGCTGCCAAGAATATCCTCAGAACAACTAGAGATACTAAATAAAGATATCACAAAAGAGGAAGTAATGGAAATAATAAATAATTTAGCCAGCTTTAAAACTCCAGGACCAGATGGTTTTAGTAATAAGTTTTATAAAGTTTTGAAAAACATATTAGCGGAACCATTAACTAGAACTTTTAATGAAGCCATAAAAAAAGGATTGTATCCACAAGAGATGTTAAGAGCAAATATTCTTCCAATATTAAAACCAGGAAAAATACCAACAGATGTGAAAAGTTATAGACCGATATCTTTAATAAATGTGGATGTTAAGATTTTTGCTTCAATCATAGCAAAGAGACTAAAAATAGTTTTGTCTGAAATTATTAACATAGACCAGGTCGGTTTTGTTCTGGGGAGAAATGCAGGAAATAATATAAGAAGACTGATAGACTCAATTGATCTGTCTGATAAGAGCGGGAGTCCCCTTCTGATCCTGTCATTAGACACAGAGAAAGCTTTTGACAGTTGGGGATTCATGTTCAAGGCTCTCAAGGCCTTCAATTTATCGGGACGGATATTGGAAGCGATAGGGGCTTTGTATAAGAAACCTGCAGCAAGGTCCATAGGTCAGAATATATGAGCTGGGAAACGGAACCAGACAAGGGTGCCCTCTGTCGACAATTTTGCATATCATTACAGTAGAAATATTTGCATCAAAAATAAGAAAAACAGGTTAATAAAGGGTCTTCCTACTACTAAGGGAGACCTAAAGATTTCATTGTATGCGGATGACACCCTTCTATATATAGTAGAACCAGAAAAATCATTGATTCAAGTAATGGCAGAAATTGACCAATATAGCAGGGTATCAAATTATAAATTAAATTTGGATAAGTCTATAGCAATGTATAAAAACATAGATTCAGATCTTTGCCACACTAAAAACCTATCAGATGTAGTATGGTCTAGTAAAGTCTGTGACTACTCATCATCATTTGTATTGAAACAATTAATACCTACATGGAAAAAATAAAGAAGAAATTAGATATTAAAAATAAGATTTTAGGTTTTCAAAGCATAAATTGCATTAAATTAGATAAACCCAATATCTCTTTAAAAATATGGAAAGAAGTAAATATTATACACATTGAAGATCTAATAATGAATAATAAAATGAAAGACTTTGAAACATTAACAGGGTTAATGCTCCTGCCAACTAAGGAGGCTTTTACATATTTAAGAGTCAAAAACTATCTGAAGAATCAAACAACTCTGTTGAATGGAGATATATATAATTCATTGAAACTGATAATCAATAAGAAGGAAACAAAAAAACAATTCTCTAGGTGTTTTAAACTAATAGACACGAGAAAATCAGATAAACAACGGTCGGTAATTAAAAGTTGGGAACAATCCTTAGATTTACATATAGAGATAGAAGAATGGTTTGAGGCATTGGCCAAGACAAATAAATATGTGACACAGTTATTCACCAACATACAGCTTATTCAACAAGTGAAATACCAGATACGAATGGAATGGGGGGTGATTAAAATTAAAAACCAAAATAAGGACCAGGAAACATGGGGCAAATGGTTAAAAATATTAGAACACGAAGAGCTGGCACAATTATCTAAACATAACTAAAATTGAAGAGAAATTAGATTGAAAGAAGTGCAGCTATTTCCCAGGTAGAGATTTGCCATCTTTAATGGAAGGATTACTAGGGACACTGTACAGAAGGATGTGAATGGAGGTATGAATGGTGTAAATTTTGTCTGTCTTTTTCCTTTTGTTGTGTTTTTAGTTATCTCTCCTCTTCCATTTTCCTTCTTTCTCCGGTTAAGGATATCCCTTTGTTAGAAGTATTAATAAATTAGGGAAACATGATGCCTTTTTAGGGGAAAACTATTTTACCTAGCAAGGTGGCAACGAGCACACAACGGTTCCATTAAGCTGTCTTTACTATTTGACAGCGTCTTAAGTCCTGTATAAGGAGTAAAAAGCACGCAATAGTTTGACTTAGATGTTATGCTCGGATGATACTAGCAGATATGGTATACTAACAGATATGCTACATTTTGCTCATCACTTTTTCCTACTAACAATTGGATACCTCACTGTATCTATTTGTCTTTATATTGACAATTGATACTTTTTTGTTAATTGAGCTAGCGAATAGGTCTAGAACTCATCTCTCTCACCATTTTCATCTCGTGTTCTTCCTCATCTCCCTTTCCCCCTATATTAACGCCTTTTTTTTTTTTTTTTTTGCATTTTATAGAATTCACAGTCTTGTTACAGGTATACAGGGTATGCGGGTTACAGTCACATTACAACATAGAGAGAGTACAATATAGTGCGCAGCATACTTTGTCAAAGTAACAACTTAACTATACAGTAATGATACTTGTGTTGAACATTCATGTAGTAGTGACATTAGAGTTACGCCTTTAAAACAAATAGACAAATAGACAACTCATTCTGACATTGCTATTGTACCCATGTTTGTGTTGCTCTCTTTCTTGTCCAATGGGCGTGATAGTGAGAGTTGTCTTTCCACTCCGCCCGTCTTGGTAAGTGCTTAGCTGTGAAGCAACCCCCATCTCCCTGGTGCTCACTACTTTTCCAATGAAAGAAAAATTTTTTCGAACTTGGGGGCATAACCTGGGTATAATGCAGGGAAAGAGGGGGAGGTAGAGGAGGGGGGGGGCGGTGTTGGTCCCTCAGTCTAGCCCAGTATATGGGCCGGTTCTTCGGCCCTAAGAATTTGCGTCAGAGTATTCACCCAGCTTTAAGTAGGAAGAGGTGGTCTGTGGGCTTCCTTGTATTCAAAGATGCAGTGCTGAGAAGGAATGCGTTTTTCCTTTCTCTAAAGCATCGTTCTATGGATTACAGCGTAAAAGGTGTGTAGAGTGTTTAAGGTTTCACCGTTTTTTGTTGATATGTGTCCCATTTTTCCCACGCCTTCTTCCATAATTTTTGTGGTGGATTATTGGATCTGGCCATTATCTCGTACCCCTTTATGGTTTCAATGTGTGTTATGCAGCTCTGTATGCTGGGGGTCGTCTGCTTTTGCCAGTGTTTGCTGATCTGCAGCAGAACTGCCAAGATAATGTGATACATTAAATATCGAGATGTTTTTGTGTGGTGTGGAGGCATATACTGTAGAAGAAAATGCTCAGGAGTATGTGCGAGAGCTACACCTGTAGTATTTTTAATTAGAGCCTGTGTGTCCGTCCACAGTGGTGTCAGGACCAGGCAGTCCCACCATATGTGTAGCATGGTGCCCTGGGCTTTGTTGCATCTCCAGCACAGTCCTGTACTCTTAGGTATCATATGTTTTAGACGGGTTGGTACTAAATACCAGCGGTATAATACTTTCCTGGCTAGTTCTAGATGGGCTGTGCTGAGTGTGAGTTTCTTATTCTCATACAGTATATGCGACCACTGCTCTTTTGTTAACTGTCTTCCTAGTTCCGCTTCCCATGCTTTTACAAACTGTAATGTATGTGGGTCTAGTGCTCGATGATGGTGATTGTACAGTGTGGAGATTAGCTTAAGTGGTCTTTTCGTTTGTGTGCAAAGGCTTTCTAATTCAGTGAAAGTGCCCCATCTGTCTCCTGCAGGAAGTACCTTTTTATTTTTCTGCAACCATGAGTGTATCTGTCTGTGCGCAAATGCTGCTGCGTTGGGTAAGTGGTATGTATTTTGCAGTTGTCTGAAGGGGATGACCTCTCCCTGATCAAACAACTGATGTAAGTATATCAGACCCCTACTGCTCCAGGACGCCATGTTTAATGAGGGTATTAGTCCATAAAAGGAATCCAGGAGGAAGACTGGGGAGAGCTCCCTATCGAATCCCTGTTCTTTATGAAATCTGTCCCATTCTCGTAATGTTGTGGCCGTGAGTGGTGACATATTGTTATATTTTTTCCTGAGCTGTGGTGGAGTCCAGGCCATGTGCGTTATATGTTGTCCCCCAGTGAGCTCTGCTTCTACGGTTACCCAAGGGGATGGTTTGTCATGCTGGTGTAATTCGTTGACCAGCGGTGCAAGTATAGCTGATCTGTAGTACGTGGCTAAATGTGGTAATCCCATGCCCCCTCCCTTATATGTGCGATACATGATGTTTGCCGCTATTCTGGGTTTCTTGTGGGACCAGACAAAGGTATTAATCAATTGTTGTGCGTCATGAAGAAATTTTTTTGAGAGCCTAATTTGTAATGTATGGAACAGGTATTGCAGTCTCGGGAGGATTTTCATTTTGACTGCAGCTATCCTACCCATCCATGATATGTATTTCCCTTTCCAATCTGTTAGCTGCTGTTTTATGGATGTAAGGAGTTTGCCATAATTCTCCCGATGTAAGTTCCTCTCTAGTTTCGTAAATTTTATGCCTAAGAAAGTTAAGTGGTCTTGTCTCCTTTCATAATGGTATTTCTGTTGCAAGACTGTATATAGCGCCGCGGGCGTATGTAGACTCATTGCCTGTGTTTTAGAGCTATTCAATTTGTAATACGAGCAGTTGCTATACTGCTGTAACAGAGTCTGGAGTTCTGAGATAGAGGTGAGTGGGTCAGACAAGGAGAACATAACGTCATCCGCAAACATCGTTAATTTGTATGTTTTATGTTTAATTTTCACACCTCGGATTTGGCTGTTATCCCGTATCGCCTGGGCCAATGGCTCTAGCGCAAGGATGTATAGGGCTGGGGAGAGCAGGCATCCTTGTCTCGTTCCATTTGTGATAAGGAACGGCTTGGATACAAACCCGCCATTAGCTACTTGTGCCGATGGTGTGGAGTACAGTGCTGAGAGTAGGGATAGGAATTGTTGTGGGAATGCAAATTTTTGTAGTACAGTTCTCAGGAAGTTCCAGTGTAGTCTGTCGAACGCCTTCTCGGCATCCAGGGACATAAAGACCCTGGACTCTCCAGGAGGCGTCCCACTGTATAGAAGGCTGTGGAGTTTCCGAGTGCCGTCAGTTCCCTGACGTCCCTTCACAAATCCCACTTGATCCGGGTGCGTAATAAAAGGGACAAGGGCCGCTACACGATTGGCGTATATTTTAGCTAAGAGTTTTGTATCTGTGTTTAACAGTGAGATAGGCCTTAAGTTTTTTGGTTGCGTAGGTGGTTTCCCTGGTTTTGGTAGCGTGGCTATGTGCGCTAATAGCATTTCTGAGGGCATCTTCCCTATGTGTACAATATGGTTCAGTGTATGTACTAGATGGGGGCTCAGGATGCTCGAAAAGACTTTGTAGTAAGTGTTCGTGAAGCCGTCTGGGCCGGGTGATTTCCCTGAAGGGAGTGTACGGATAGTTTGCTGTAGTTCTTTCAGTGTAATCGGTTCTATCAGGGATTCCTGCTGCTGTTGTGTTAATTTTGTCAATTTTATCTGCGAGAGAAAGTTATTAATTTCAACTTGTGTTGGCTGATGCGTTTGGGGGTCCTTTGCTAAGTTGTACAGGTTTTGGTAATAGGCTGCTGTTTCTTCATTGATGTCTAGGGGGTTATATATTTTCCCTCCTTTGCTGGTGAGTAAATATGGGATTTTGGAGTGGGCTTGGTGATGTCTCAGCAAAGATGCTAATTTTTTCCCCGCTCTGTTCCCATGGGTATAATGTTTCAATTTGAGTGTTTGTAGGGTGCGTGCTGTTTTTTGAAGTAAGAGATCATTTAGTTGTTTAGTGATTTGTTCTATTTCAATGTGAAGGCCAGGAGTGGGGTGTAGGAATTGGGCTGCGTTTAAGTCACGCAGTTTGGTCAGTAGGGTAAGACGCGCTTGTTGAGAAGTCCTATTTAGAAAGGACGCTCTGCTGATGAGCTGACCTCTAATGACTGCTTTATGAGCCTGCCAAGAGGTGGTAGGTAATATGTCAGGTTGATTGTTAAGTTGGAAATATTTATCTATTTCAGTTTCCAATTCCTTTTTAAAAATATCGTTATATAGGAGGGTGTCGTTCAGTCGCCACGGGGCTTTCCCTCTATGTTTGTAAGTGTCCTGGGTTATGAGGGTCACTGGAGCGTGGTCTGACCACACTATGTCCCCTATACTACTCTGTACTGCGGAGGGTACCAAATCTCTTGACACCAGTATGACGTCTATTCTGGAGTGGGTTCCATGCACCTTGGAATGGAAAGTGTAATTTTTATCATTCGGGTGTTTCGTTCGCCATATGTCATATAAGTTATGGTCAAGTAATAGCTTAGTGATGGCTTTGCATTGTGGTATTAAGGATCTATGTCTAGGAGTAGAGGGAGATACTGTCGTGTCCATAGTCGGCTGGAGAATGTGGTTCATGTCACCACATATTATGATGCCAGCTTTGTGCTCTTGGGGTAGTTTGCTCAGTACTCTATGCAAAAAATTGCGTTGGTTGGAGTTTGGGCTGTATATGCCTACCAAGGTATATATGGCTCTGTTAATTTGACAGTGGATTATTAAATATCGGCCTTGTGCGTCTGTTTTGACGTTTAGCAGTTCAAAAGTGAGCGATTTGTGAAACAGGAAGGACACTCCTCTAGTTTTGGAAGAATAAGTCGTGTGATACTGCGTCGGATAGTCCTGTTTCCCAAATTCTGGTATCCTCCCACGCACAAAGTGCGTTTCCTGAAGGCACATAATGTCTATCTTAGCTGTCTTTGCTTCCTCTAATAAAACTCTACGTTTATGAGGGGTGTTCAGCCCTCGTACATTATGTGAGTGTATTTTCATAATATGATGTTATGTGGATTCGTTGCTGAATTTGCAGTTTACTTCTTATTCTATCTAGCCTTCGTATGAGTATGTCGATTGTGCTTATATCGGGCAAGGATGCCTCTGTGGGGGCGATCTCGATCATAGCTGGTGTGGGCAATAGCTTGGGCTTTCTCATCCATGCGGGACTAGGGTCAAGGAAGAGGGGAGGTGTTAACCGGTTAATAACAAAAACAAAGTATTTACATGTATGAGTCTCGGTACTGGTGATGAGTACCATGGGGGTGGAAACTCGCAGGTTTCCGTGTCGTGGCTATGGGTCTTCCGCTGTCTCCTAATCTTTGGGGACGGTCGGTCGTATTAGGTCACCCATGTATCAAGTACTAAGTACTGAGTAATAAGAGTCTTATAGGTTCTTTGGGTATGTGTACTGCTGTACTAAGAAAGAGGGTAAATGGTAGTAGGACTAAGAAAAAAAAAAATTTGTTATGTCCATTCGTAGGTTCACATACTCATATAGATACACAACACAAGTTCACCTTAATCTACAGCTGGTGAGCGCGTCCAGTAAGGCAGCGTCTTGCTCCCAGTAGCTGGAAGGGCTCGCCAAAGTAACAGGTATCTAGTAAGTACATTCTGAACCTGTGTTATATCATTTTTTTTTTTTTTTTTTTATTTTATTTTTTTTTTATTTTATTTTTCTTCAAAAAATAAAACTATAGGCATGCTCTCTGCAGAACATTGCCTTTCCCGTAAGCTACCGGCTGCTAGGGGAGATTTGTTCATCTCCAGACCTCCATTAAGTGTTTGGGGAGTTATTGCCCTCCGGTTTAAGTAGCCTTAGGGAACCATGTGGCCTAATATGGTATAACCAATCCTATATGAACCCGAAAAAAACTTTTTTTTTTTTATAAAACATTTTTCTAACTTTTCCTCAGTCCTTGTCCTTATTGCAAGCACACATGTATAAACAGATTTATACTTGCGGATGTTCAGCAGTTCATGTTTTGTGCCAGTCCAGTGGGATACCTGGTAGGTGGAGTGTGATGCTCCAGTCTTTGGTCCATAAATCCCCAGGCCTGTAGCTTGCGAAGTCCATCTTCAGGTGTGTGATGACTTGGGTGGCGTTGTCTTTCGTCACCAACATTTTGGTGGGAAAGCCCCATCTAAATCTAAGGCCGTGAGCTCTTACGGAGTTGGCGACTGGAGCAAACTCTTTCCTTCTGCGGAGAGTGGACGCCGAGAGATCAGCGAAGATCAGCAGGTTTGGATAACCTTCCAGTGGTGTCGCTTTATTCCTGCTTGACTTTAGTATAATTTCTTTAACATGGTAATAATGCATGCGCAGCAGCACATCCCGCGGTGCAGTTTCTGGTAGGAACCTTGGTCTAGGCAGGCGGTGTACTCGGTCCACGAGTAACATGTCGGTAGGTATGTCTGGGTCATATGCGTTAAACACACCTCTGACATATGCCTGCAGGTTCTCCGGCACAACATCTTCCGGGATTCCTCTGATGCGCAGGTTATTCCTGCGTGCGCGATCCTCCAGGTCGGTTATTTTATTTTCTGTTGCCAGTAATTTTTGTTCTAGTTGTTCCACATGAGAGGCAATGTCATTGTGGGCTGTGGCAAATTCTGCCATCTTGTTCTCCATGTGGGAGGTGCGCTTGCCCAATTTTGCATGTCTTCCTCAGCGAATCCGCCGTGTGTTGCCATGATGCAATCAACTTGTTTGACAGGGTGTCCAGAGCTTGTTGCAAGTAGCTCTTGGTGAGCTTATCAGACTCCCCCTCCTGCATTGTCGCTGTGTGCTCCGGGCTGTCATTAGTGGGGCCGCCATCTTGCGACCAGGCCCGAGCCTCCTCCGGCTCCTGGTGCTGTTTGCCTCCAAAGAAGTTGATTTTGTCCGCTTTTGGTGCATTCTTCTTGCCCCTCTGCTGTGCCATCTCTCGTTTTCGTGCAGTTTTACCGCCGTGTTGCGCTGGATGGAGTCAGATTGCGACCCGTGATGCCGGAGCGAAAGGATCACACGTCCATTTCTCTCGGCGGTTAGCCACGCCCCCTATATATTAACGCCTTTAACACCTAATGTTGGTTCCTTGGTCTGTCTATTTTTTGACACCCATCAATACCATATCAGAGTGTGAAAGGTAGTCTAATTTAGGAACGTCTTTTGTACTATACCAACAAAGTATTTTCAAGATTTTTATTCCAGGGACAGATTCTCTCCTTTTCTATTGTTCCAATTACTTAGGGTTACC